CCTATTAAATAATTAATTTAAATAAAAAATTAAAGATGGCCACCAAAGCTACAATTAAATAGCTTTAACGCAGCTTTTTTTAATTTATTTTACACATATGGAGCTGAAATTTGTTGAGGTTATAGCTGAGAGCGTTCCCCATCACATACTGAATCAAAATCAAAAATTCAAGATGGCCACCAAACCTTAAAAGAAAAAAAAAGTACTATAACTCATCGATTTTTTGCTCCACTGAGCTGAAACGGTATAGTGGTAGCTGAGGGCGAGCCCCAACACATAGCACTATATCAAAATTTAAATTGGCAGCAGCGTAGCAGTCGCCGTCAAAGTTTCTCCAGGAACTTTCTAGTTGACTTTTTAAAACTTTGCCATTACTGTCTGGAGTCAATGCTATGTTAGCATAATATCTCAAGAATCTCTGGATGAATTTTAAAGTCAAACACCCACTAATTTTTCATGTTACATATCAGCGACTTATGATCAAGACATAAAATAATACTCAGTGTTCTGTGGCAAATGTTGAAAAGAAACGCACACTGGTTTTAAAAACAGTTTTTGTGATGATTTCAAGCTTTTCCAGTCGTAGCTTTGGAAACAGCTTCTTCGTGTCCATATATGGGGTGTGATGTCACGCCAATGATTCAATTGAGCAAAACTGCTAAAATTGAATTGTATAGTGCAAGGATGGAGGCAGCTGCAAAGATGCGCAGGCTCATAGAGAAAATACCCCCATCCCTTCCCAACCTTCACCGAACAAATAAACAGCCTCCAACTCTTTTCTGACTGAGGCCTGAATTCATTTGTCAAGCACCAAAAAGTCTACAAGAAGAAGATGTGGAATTTGAAGGAAGTTCAGAGGCGATAGAGAGACTGCAAGAACAGGAGTGAGTAATGAGATTTGAGAACTTTGTGATTATTGTGTTTGGATTAATAGGAAGGATAAGGTGTTTGAGTCAGGTTTAGTGTTTGAGTCAAAACAATGAGACTATTTTTTGAACGTGACGCTGCAACTTCTATTGGAGGTGAAGGATGGAGCCACAGAGTCAGAACCTTCTCAGACTGAAGAGGCAGTGATGAGAAAGAAAAACAATCTGAGACAGAGTGAGAACTTCGACAATGAAGAGGGAGATCTATTGTTGGTTTTAGAAGAGGAGTGCATGAGCACCACACTGTGAATATATACAGAGTCCACGCCTGTGTCCAATCCCTGGTGTGATGTCATCAGCCTTCGGTGATCGTCAGCCATGTGCTCAGGTGTTTCTTTGACATTTTTTAACACCTGTATGTCTCAAATGTGAAGAAAAAACATAACCAGCATGTTCTAAGACAGTGATTAGCCCTAAAGAGCACTTGGTACTATGTGGGTGTTGGACTTTAGAAAGATTTTCAGTAAATACCATATTTTCCGGACTATAAACCGAAAGGGTTTTCACACGCTTTGAACCCTAGGCTTATGCAATGCTGCAGCTAATTTATGGATTTTGTTTTAACGGGATAACGAGCTTCCTGCCACCAACACATTTAGCCTCATCACACCCGGGCACTCACAGTTGCCCAATACACCTCTCTCTTGGGTCCTCGTGACTCAGTAAGTTCGTTTTCACACCAGATAGTCCGGTAGACTCGGATCGGTTGGGGACCAATATTCATGACATTTTGTTTACATTCGAGCTGTTGCGTTTGCATTCACACTGCACTGTGCAGTCGAGCCAATCTGTTGAGCCAACCTGTTCCCCCACTCGCCTGTGGGGGCGCTGCACCAAGAACTACTGAAAGAAACGAAACAAAAACCTCTGAAGAAGACACTTCTTCTTCTTCTTCTTCTTCTGGAAATAAAAACAAAAACGGAGTGGCGTCAAGTTTTATCGGCTTTAGGAGTTCTATTTTGTCATTTTTCAACAATGGACTCAGCATGAGCAGAAGATGAGGCAGAAGACCATGGAGAATATTATTTTTCGAACAAGTCAGCTGGCGGCTCCATATAAGGTCAGAGAAATGCGTGTTTGTTTACCCTGCGCTGTAGTCCTCTTCCTGTTTGCAGAGCAGTGCCCGTTCTGTTTACATTCACACTGTACTCGAACCGCGCTCGAGTTTTCTTCTACCGGACCGAGACCTAGGTTTTAGACTGGGTCAGATTTCGCCTTTTTGTTCCGTGACAGAGTTCGATGGTGAGTTCACACCTCCCCAAACGAACCGGACTTCCTAGGAAAACGGGCTAGAGTTCAGGACAACAGGGCTGGTGTGAATGCACCCTGAGACTACATGTATAAATAAAATTGTTGTTTTTTTTTATCTGACCAATGAAATTACCCAGCAGGTGTGACCCCCCTCCCTGGAGGCTTCTTTGTGCCCCCAGGGAGGGGGAAAACTTTGTTTTGAAGATGTTGTACAAGGATTGACCAAAACAGCTACAACTTTGTAATTCCTCTTAGTTTAAAACTCTGGCATGAACGTCAACGGGCGATATGCATTCCTTCAAGGAATGCTGGGCTTGTAACAGCCTGTTTGTGTTTGAAAATTCAAGTTGAAATAGCAGAAAATCCTGGCACAGAAATAAACAAAACAATAAATTTGTTGCTTTCTCTTTGGAGTGATGCGTCCAAAAAAGAAGGTCCTTATCTAAAGGAGTGGGAGGAGGAGACATGGTCAGAAACAAAGGGAGCTCCGCCTGTGAACTGCTCAGATAAGCTCCTTTTTGTCTGTTTTCTAATTCTCTAATGCTAAGACAGACGCACTGTCAAACACAAGTCTCTGGTGGTTTGCCTGCTGGTAAGGTATCACAGTTAGAGGGAAGGTCATCTGGATGAACGTGTCCTATTATGAGATATATGCCTTCATCCATTCACAGAGGTCAAAAGGTCAAACATCCAGTCAGACCACAGCTAAGCTAAGCCCCTCAGAAATGAGGATTTATTATGAGCTGAATGAGAAACTACTGTCAGAGAACACGAACTGCATCCATGAGGCAAAATATGAAATAAAAATAAATCAGAAGACAGATAAAATGCAAGAAGAGACTCAGCAAAAATTAACAGCCTGACAGAAAATTCAAAATTAATGGTCTTCAGTTTTTATCCTACCCTGGATCTGTAAAGTTTTTTACAGAGTTTCTACACACACGCACGCACATGTGCATTTTAGTTTCAGATTACCTTCTAGGGACCAATTTTACAAAAAATCATGCATTGTGGGAACCAGCTGCTCTTTATGGAGACCAAAGCCAGGTCCCCATAAGGAGAAGTCTTGTTGTGGGGTTAGAGGTTAGGTTTAGGACTAAGGCGTGAAAGAGTTGTGGATGGGTTAGGTATGTACTAGTAATGCTTAGGTTTAGGGTAAGGGTCAGGGTTAGGCTATAGACAATGAATGGAAGTCAATGCAAAGTCCCCAAAAAGTAAGTTTACAAGAACACACACACATGCACATAAAAACAAGGTCTTCTTGTGGTTGGTCTAACTTCTGTACTTTGCAAAGCAACTAAGAAAGTTTTAGAGAAACCGAGTAAAGGCTAAAATTAGAAGTTTGATCAAGGGTTATGCATTTTTTTTAACTACTGTGGCTGAGTATGGTAACTACCCATGAACCATGTGTTTGAGTTAGCAGAGTTCTTTTCTCTCTCAGTGAGAGCTGAATGGGGATCCTGCATGTGCAGCTGGATGGCCAAGGACACCAGTCTGCCTGTCCGCTGGGAGCAGATAAGTATATAAAAACAAGCCTCGCATGCTGCCCGTGGCAGAGTCTCATGACTGGGATCCATGCATGTAAACTTCTGTACATATGTGTAATGTGTTGTGAAAATCTGCCATTGCAAGTAAAATCAATTAAATATCTTCTGTCATTGAACGTGGCTCCTTTGAGTAAGTAAGATTAATAGAGGATATTTTTATCCAACAATTGAAACTTATAATATTTTTATATTCAGTCTGACATATATTCATATATGTATATGTATATATATATATATATATATAT